GTGGTTTCTTAGGGCCGCATCCTTCTCAGGATCCATCAGTTTCCCATAACTCTTCAGCTATGTGAGCTCCGCACTTGTCCATGCTGGGGTTTTGTCTGGCTTGATCTTATATAAGTCTTAAGCATGCAGCCACAGCTGCTCTGAATTCTTAAGTTCAAATGCCTCGCTGTGTCCGGAAAATACTGTTTCACCATAGTTATTCATTATGTGTGATTCTTACCGTCTTCCTACCCCCTCTTCTGCGAAGAGCCCTAAGCCTTGAAAGAAGGGGGTTCACATGATATTAATAGACATTAATAGACACTTGGGGCTGAACAATTTCATAGTCTCTTATTCTCTGCAGGTTGACCAGTTGTGGTTTCTGTGTTAATCAGCATCTAGTGCACAAAGAAACCTTTCTGGTGGGGGCTGAGAGACATAATAATCTAAGGCTATACAGATAAGAACTTACAAGATAAGAACTATATAGATAAGAATTTATCATTATGTTCATTTAACAGAATAATAATAGCAGCCGGGCGGTGGTGGCGCACGCCTTTAATCCCAGCACTCGGGAGGCAGAGGCAGGTGGATCTCTGCGAGTTCGAGACCAGCCTGGTCTACAAGAATTAGCTCCAGGACAGGCTCCAAAGCTACAGAGAAACCCTGTCTCGAAAAACCAAATAATAATAATAATAATAATAATAATAATAGCATTAGGTTCTTCCCTATGGTCTATGGCTTACCCAGCCATGGGGTTCTTGGCCTGTTAGTGGTACAAGACATGAGCTCTGTCTTGTGGAGTGAATGTTAAATCCAACCAGAGACAGATTCTTTACCCTCCCACCACCATTCTTGTCACTCTTGATGCAGTAGACATGTCTTGTCACACTTGCTACTGTAGGTTACGAAGCTCCCAGCTGGGCAAGACTGCTGGCTGCTAGTCTGGTAGCATGCCTAGCACCTTCTAGCACTGTGAAAGCTAGTTTGTAGAAATGAAGCTTCCAGAAAAGCACCAGCTTAGGTCTTTTTAATGTTCTATGACTCAAGTATGGGATATATCAGCAACAGAGTCTTGCCAATGAAGTTATTGACATAGTTTTTTAAAAATATTTTTGTGGGGAAGAGACAGAAATTTTTAATAAATAAATAAATTTTAAAAATAAAGGAAAAAAATATTTTTGTGTTTACTTAGTTGCATTCCTGGGGATGAGGCTCACAGATAGGAAGTCAACTGCATATTAAAATAGTATTGCAGCCTCTTGCCAAGAGTTTAGCCTTTAAGGCCTCTTTGTTTTTTGTAGTGGTCATACACCTGAAACACGTATTTGGTATCTGTGTAGTTTCATTCTTTTCGTAAGACACTATCCCTTGAAAGACTTGAGGAATACAAACATTTTCTGTGAAAGCCGAGAGAAGAAAGGGGAAGACACTTCAGCTCAGTGACGTCAGCTATCGGGTTGTGTATGTTTTCTCCTTGCAGACTATATATGCCTCCAAACTGAACGTCTCCATCACCTGCTCACTTACTATGTGACGACAAAGCTGCCCCCACCTTTCACTCTGTTTAGAAACAAAATGTCACTTAAACGACAGAAAATTCCAGGTGCAATTCTGTGTGCGTTCGTCAGGATAGACGAAGCTATTCTGCAGTAGCAATTGCTACCGAAACCTCAATGGCTTGACATAGCATAACTGCTTCGTCCTCCTGAAAAGAGCACGGAGGGGCCATGGCGTGATCCAGCGTGCCAAGCCGTGTTGACTCTGAGTCACCCCATGTTGACATGTGCTTGTATCATACCATCACTGGGATACAATCCTTGTGACTTGTACGCTGGGTCTCCAGCATCTTGGTAAAATTGACATCTGGATGTCCAAGGCAGTAGAATTTGCCCTTTAACCATGGAGTAGAGAATTGGGAATGTTGGTTGAGTAGTGTTGATACCTACGAAGTCAATTTTGACTCGAAGAACAGGGAGGCATTGTGGTTTTGCGTTACCTCTTTCAACTTTATGGTTTTACTGAGAATATTAAGATTATAAAGCTGAAGTCAACTTTATGTTCTGGCCTAGCCTTATACAACTGGAATGTGGGGGCAGAGGATGACGCATTAAAGTAGAAACACCTGTCTTTTTAATATGATTTCAAACACTATAAATGAAAAAACAACCCCCTAAGAATTTAACAGATCTGAGATTCTGAAGCCAGTTTTAAACAGAAGAAAGACTCATACAGTTTACCGTTCTTGTCAAACCTGAGCCCCGTTATCCTTTTGAAGAATATCAGCAGCAGGCAGCAGAATCTTTCAGTGGCATTCCCGTGGTTCCTGCTGGAGGGTTTAGTCCATTTATTTATTTGAGCGTGGCAGAAGGAAGATGTGCTGAGCTCTAACAGCCAGGCATGGGAGTGTATCAGGATTTCCACTAGTATTCTCGGGCGCGAATTGACTTATATACAGGACCCTACCGTTTACAGTCTTTCGTGGAGGGAAAGGCGTGGTGGGACGGTACCATGACCATCCATGACCCCAAATACACTGCTTACATTAGAGCTCAGTAGGACCGCTACTCTGGGGTGTTACCACAGGACCAAGTACATTTTCAGTCTGTCATTGCCTTCTCTCTTCTTTCCTTTGCTTTATAGTGCACATTAACATTTTGGAGTTGTGTAGTGAGATGATACAAATTTTCATTTGATAAATCCTGTTAACTCAGGCACCATAAAAATCTTATATAACATTGGTACCGCTTTCAGGGGATTATACAGGACTCTAAACAATGTCCTGTTTAGTGCAGTGGAAAGCCTAGCACCCCACTGACACTATTCCCTGGTCCTTCCCTGTTGTAGGAGGCAGCTTGTGCATTTCCTGGCCACCCAAACTCCTGAAATAATAACACAGAAACTATATTATTTAAAACACTGCTTGGCCAATGACTCTAGCGTATTTCTAGCAAACTCTTACATATTGAATTAACCCATTTCTATTATTTTATTTTATCATGGGGCTTGTGGCCTACCAGCAAGGTTCCAGCTTGTGGCTTGTGTCTTTCTCCTTTGGTGGCTCCATGGCAGCTCCCGACTCTGCCTTCTTCCTCCCAGCATTCACTTTAGTTTTCCCTGCCTAGCTCTTTTCTGCCCTGCTATAAGTCCAAAGCAGTGTCTTTGTTCACTAAGCAATAAAAGCAACACATAGACAGAAGGACCTCCCACACCACCACCCAGCTATCAGCTTTTCGTTACTCAAAAATGTTCAACACCAAGACATTACAGAACAAATATTTAAAAAACCATTGGATAAGAATAAGTATAATGTATTACAAATGAGTAATAGCCACAAAAAAAGAGGCAAGGAAGAAAAGAATTAACCTAAGTGCTTGCTAAACAATGCCTTAACTGGAGGCTCCTAGGCCTGGGGCAGTAAGAACCATTGTACTTCAATTCAGTTCTTGTGTTTCTCACAAGGGTGGCTCAGCAATTCTGAGCGTACTTGATGCTTACAGTAGGATGAAGCAAATAGAAATGTTGTCAGTGACAAGGGCAAAGCTTCTCACTGTTCAAGAAGAATAAAGTTACAAATGAGGAACAACATGCAACCTGCAACGCTAGATCCAATCCAGGGGCACTAGAATAGACTCTTGGTTTTTGATGTGCACCATACAGGTTGAGAAATACAGACCCTAGATCAGCGCACATGAAGGCATTCCCAGCTGTGCTTGCTTTGGGAGTCTGTCAGTGATGAAGCCTGCGTTCTATCTGGCAACTAGATCTTAGCTTTGGAAAACCATTTCTGGTACAGAAACTACAGCTCTTCAAGCAAGTGATTAATTGCAGCCTTGTAGAAGAGGGAAAAAAGACAAATGAACCAGGAGCACAGTGTAGAGCCAGGAAATTAAGAAGTGCTATATATATATTTTTTTTTCAAAAGACAAGAGCCCACCTAGATGGACACAGCAAAATAACAATATTAGATTTTACCCTTTGGAATAAAATAACCTTAAGTCCATAATGATAGACTCTAAAAGTTGAATGAATAAATAAATAAGAGTGCATATTCTTACTACAGAAAAATACTGTTAATAAATACACAAGGAAAAAATCATTATTAAGCAAATATATCATAGTAGTAATAGTGATAAACAAAATCCATTGAGTGGTGCAAAATAAATCCAAGCAGAAGAAGGAGGGTTCCAGAATCTCCAAGTGTCTTCCCCATTGTAGTTAAAAGGATAACTTGTAGTAGAGAGAGCTTGCAGACAGCACTGCTGCAAAGCCCTGCAGATAAGCACACATGGCCATCAGACATTTGCACTGCAGATAAGCACACATGGCCATCAGGCATTTGCACTGCAGATAAGCACACATGGCCATCAGACATTTGCACTGCAGATAAGCACACATGGCCATCAGACATTTGCACTGCAGATAAGCACACATGGCCATCAGACATTTGCACTGCAGATAAGCACACATGGCCATCAGACATTTGCACTGCAGATAAGCACACAGGGCCATCAGACATTTGCACTGCAGATAAGCACACATGGCCATCAGACATTTGCACTGCAGATAAGCACACATGGCCATCAGACATTTGCACTGCAGATAAGCACACATGGCCATCAGACATTTGCACCAAATCGCTGGACACTGCACACTGAGGACACACTGTTGTCCACCGACTGGAAAGATGAAGGGCCAGAGGATAGAGCAGACTCAGAGACGAGCAAATGCAATGCAGAAAGCCTTGGATAGGAGAGAAGACGGATCCACCAGGGAGACAGCTGAGGGAACTAGAGGAAGGCTAAGGTTCTATTGCATCTCTTTCTGACATTTGTCCTGGTTAGTAATGTGACTATGGATGGAAGGGCAGGGTTTCTAAGAAATTAGCTCAAAATAAAAGAGCTTACAATGAGGTTACAATTCAAATGATGTAAAATATGGAAGGTGACAAGACCAGTCCCAAGTATCTGAATGAAGGCAAGCTAGCTATTCTTCTCTTTTTCCTCTTGCATTTTCCATAGCGGAGCGACTTTCAAACAGCTGGCTGGATGTTCGTCACATTGAAAAATACGTAGACCAAGGTAAAAGTGGAACAAGAGAATTGCTGTGGTCCTGGGCACAGAAAAACAAGACCATCGGTGACCTTTTACAGATTCTCCAGGAGATGGGGCATCAACGAGCTATCCATTTAATCACGAACTATGGTGAGTGTGTTCTCAGACTGTGGCTCTTTATTCGTCCTATGGGACTTGTCATTTCTGACTCAGACAGAGGCCTGTCTTGCTGTGGCTTGTGAACTTGACACTTTGTTTCCTCATTGTTTAACAGTACAAAACATTCCTTGCTACAGTTTTTGCCTTTGTTTTTGAGACAGGAACTCGCTATATAACCTTGACTGACCTGGAACTTGATATGTAGACCAGGCTGGCATTGAACCCAGAGATCCGCCTGCTTCTCCCTCCTGAAGGCTGGCATTAAAGATTGAGCGGCTTTCCTAGCAACTGTAGGATTTTAACTTTTCATTTAGCAACTAATTGCTTCTTGTCTAAAGCTCAGAAGAATCAAAATATTTAAATTAAAATATATAATGTAATTTTTCATTTCTTTTTATTATTAAAAATCAGCAACAACATTGGCTTTCCCAGCTATAGACAGTTATATAATTCGGTCCTCTCTGAATGTAAATGGTGACTCCAGAATAAAGTTGTAATTCTCTATTACAGTCCATATGCCAGGGCTTTAATCATGCCGTACTTATCTGCCATTCACTCTAGTTTGTCCTGTCGTTTCTTTTCATTCATGCTGCATGCACACGGCAGCACCAGTGTGGCGCTCAGAGGCTAACTTTGAGGGGTTGTTTCTGTTGTCTCTTCTGCGTATTTCTGGCTAGCTATTATGTAAGCTTTAGAAGGGCTGCTCACTGACTTAGGAGGCAGAGTTCTTACCGAAGTCTCTGCCTATTGCTCTCAAGGCCAGGCTGTGCAGCTAAACGGATGATCGCTTTTTGCTAACCTTTAACCCTTCTTTTCTTCTGGGCGGGATACTTTTATTTTTACGGTGTGTTTTACCTTTCCTATTCAGACCTCTACGCACCACTTAGATTTGTTGTTTTTTTTTTTGATAGTATAAATATTTATTTCAGTTTCTTATCCTAAGTTAGTTGATGAACTATGCAACCTCCCTTTTATGAAAATACCAGGTCAGTTCTCTAGGTTGATGAGCCTAGGGGTACATGGCCTAGGTGAAGCAGAAAGAGCTGGACGGACCACTGTTGCTATGTCTGGGCTCCGGTCTGCCACTCGAATGCAGTAAATTGGTACTTTTCTAGGGTGGTGACCCTGGTACGTGCCAGTGTGAACTTGTTTTCTAAGACAAAACAGTTCTGGTAAGGAGCTGGTCACTCTGTAGGGTGCACCACTTAGATTTGTTTTTTTTTATTATTATTTATTTATTTATTAAGGATTTCTGCCTCCTCCCCGCACCCACTTCCCATTTCCCTCCCCCTCCCCCATCTTAGATTTGAATTGTCTTAGGACTCTCAGTGAGAAAGGCCAGTTCCTTCCCAGGGACTATTCTGCAAGTCAGAATTCTGTCACTAGGTGGCAACATTACCATTATAAAACAATTCATTAGAGCTTACCACATAACCAACCTGTCCAAAGAACCTAGTGTTTATTGTCATATTTCCAGCATGCAGGTATGAACACACAGATTTTTGCATTTATAGTTTAAGGACCAGTTTGGTTTTCCCCCCCTAGTTTTGCTTTGTGTATATGTGTGTGTGTGTGTATGTGTGCGTGTGTGTGTGCATGTGTGTACAGAGATCAGTGGGCAACCTAGGGTGTCGTTTGTCAGGAGTCATTCTTTTGTTTTTCAAGACAAGATCTCTCATCCGTCTGGAGCCCACTGATCAGGCAAGACTGGATGGTTAGCACGCTCCAGGGATCTGTCTGTCTGCCTCAGCAATGCTGGGGCTTATACGCATGCCTGTGCCTGACTGTTTGTTTTTTGTTTGTTTGTTTGTTTTTGGTTGTTTGGGGTTTTCTTTTTTTTAAGTGTTTTTATTGATCTATATTTTTTTCTGCTCCCCTTCCTTCTTCTCCCTCCCTTTCTATCCTTTCTATGATCCCCAGGCTCCCAATTTACTCAGATCTTGTCTTTTTCTACTTCCCATGTAGATTAGATCCACTTATATTTCTCTTAGGGTCCTCATTGTTGTCTAGGTTCGCTGGGGTTATAAACTATAGGCTGGCTTTTCTTTGCTTTGTGTCTAAAAGCCACTTATGAGTGAGTACATATTATATTTGTCTCACTTAATATGGTGTTGAGAGTTCTCTGTTTAGGTCTGTACTCCATTTTTTTTTATTGGATTATTTCTTCCTTTGATGATCAATTTCTTGAATTCTTTGTGTATTTTGGAAATCAGCCCTCTGTCTGATGTGGGGTTGGTGAAGATCTTTTCCCCTTCTGTAGGCTCCCTTTGTGTCTTGTTGACCGTGTCTTTTGCTTTACAGAAGCTTTCAGTTTCAGGAAGTCCTGTGTATTTATTGTCTCTTTCAGTGTCTGTGCTACTGGGGTTATATTTAAGAAGTGGTCTCCTGTGCCAATGCATTCAAGTGTACTTCCCACTTTCTCTTCTGTGAGGTTCAGTGTGGTTGGTTTTATGTTGAGGTCTTTGTATGGCTTCTGGGGATTGAACTCAGATCCTTACACTTGTATAGAAAGCACTTTTCCAGCTGAGCTAGCTCCCCAAATCAGTGCTTTCTTGTTTTCATTTTTAAGGGGCTTTGATACACAACACACAGCTTTCTACTGGCTTCTTAGAGGAACTATTCTATTCTATTCTATTTATTTATTTATTTATTTATTTATTGAGACAGGGTTTCTCTGTAGCTTTGGAGCCTGCCCTGGAACTAGCTCTTGTAGACCAGGAACTCACAGAGATCCGCCTGCCTCTGCCTCCCAAGTGCTGGGATTAAAGGCGTGTGCCACCACCGTCCGGCTCTAGAGGAACTATTTTAAAGCTGTCATTTCCTGACAAGGAAATCTTATCTTTGCTTTCTTTAATAACAAAAGAATGACAAATTTTAACACGTTTATAGCTCCCAGACTTGAAATGTTGCATGTGGCAATACCTGATTCGGGGTGTATGCTAGCTCTTTACCTTGTCTGCTTCCTCTGTCTAGAATTCTTGATGTAGTAATGAGCAGATGTGGCCAGATCAAGCAGCCACCCTCTTCTTGACCTTAAGGGGAAAACATCCTGTCTTTTACCATTAATTAATTATGACATTAACTATGTTTTTCCCCATAGATACCTTATATCAGATCGAGGAAGTTATCTTCTGTTTCAAGGGTTTTTAATTTTGTATTATCATGACAGGGCATTGGAATTTGTCGATTTATTTTTCACAGTCTTGGGGTGAACATATACTGTTGCATCCTCGATTCTGTTGAGTTGTGTTGTATTAGCTGATTTTCAGTTTTAAGCAAATCTTGGATTTCTAGGATAAATCCAGCTCAGTTGTGACATGTGATACATTACATATTTGTAGACTTGGTTTGTTGGTGTCTTGTTGAGGATTTTTGCATCTGTATTCATAAGAGTAGGTGGTCTGCACTTTGCTGTGTTTGCCTGGCATTGGCATCAGTGTTGAGCCCAGTGAATGACCTGGGAGTTCTTCTGTCGTCTTCTGCATTTGAGGAGTCTGTACAGGGTTTGTGTTACACCGTGTGTGGCTGGAAGACTTAATCAATGCCCAGTCCTTTCTCTGTTGGAAGTTAGAAAACACTAACTCAATTACTTTTTAAGTTATTATAGGTCCACTTAGATTATCTTTTGAATTAATTTTAGTAGATATTTAGTAGATTTAGTAGATATGATCTATTCATATCATCTAATTTCTTGTGTATTTTATTTTCTTGATATAATATTCTTTTATAACAGTGATGATTCAGTGAAATCATAAAATCAGTAATGATTGCTCCTCTTTTGTTCTTAATTTTAGTAATTTGAGTCTTTCTCCTCTCTTCCCTCCTTCCTTCCTTTCTTCCTTTATTCCTTCTCCTCCCTCCTCCCTTCTTCCTTCTTTTCTTCCCTCCCTTTCTGTTTCCCTCCCTCTTTCCCTTCTTCCTTTCCCCATTCCTTTTATCCTTCTCTCTGTCCCTCTTTCCATCCCTCCCTTCTCCCTATCTCTTCCCTCTCTCCGTTCCTCCCTCCCGCCTTCACTACCTTTTTAATTCTTTCTAAACTACTGTCAATTTTGATGATTTTTTTTCAAAGAGCTGTCCTTGCTTTCTGTGAATCTCTCTTTTGGAAAGTCTTCTGCTTCCACTCGGACCTGAATTCTTTTCATTTGCTTTTGTCTACGTTGCCATTTTTAATAGTTACTTACAATGAAAATACGCCACCAGTTTGAGGGATTTTTCCTCCGTAAGGTAGAAACTTACAGTTACAGGTTTTCCTCTAACCTCTACCTTAGGTTTGGTTACTTTAAAATTTTTTGATTCATCTCAAAGTATTTCCTGCGAGACTGACGCGCTGCGTGCTGCACTAAAAAGGCACATTCAAGGTGTTTTCTAACTTACTTTCTACCGTTGCCTTTGACATTCCTGTTTCTGTAGGTTTTCTGAGTTTCCCTTTATAGCCGGTTTCAACTTTCATTTCCCAGAGGTCAGAAAATATACTTTGTATGATTCAAACCTTCTAGATCTATTGAGGCTCATTTTATTGCCCAACATATGGTCTGTTTTGGAAAATATTTGGTGTCTTCTGAAGGAGGATGTGTGAGTTTGTGTTTGGAAAAAAGTTCTATAGATATTGAGTATCTGAAAAATTAATTGATGGACAGCCGGGCAGTGGTGGTGCACGCCTTTAATCCCAGAACTCGGGAGGCAGAGGCAGATGGATCTCTGTGAGTTTGAGACCAGCCTGGTCTACAAGAGATAGTTCCAGGACAGGCTCCAAAACCACAGAGAAACCCTGTCTCAAAGAAACAAACAAACAAAAAAAATTGATGGTGTTTTGTTGCTAGTTTTGTAAAAAAAAAATAATTGGATAAACACTAGAAAAAAAGAGTAACTAGACAACAAAATAAAAAATTTCCAACAGCTGAATCATAGTGTTAGAAAGGAGAAGAAAAATGAAAGTGTTTTCGTCTTTTATGGGGAGTTACATAGAACACTTCAGTTGTGACAGCATTCCAAAAGGTAAAATCATATCTTATATTTGGGAAGAGGTGTAAGTATTGGTGATTGATAATATGTGTATATGTGTATGTGCATGCACAGAATATCTGAGATTTTACCTTAAAAAACGTGAAAATAATAAATCAGCCCAAGGAAGTAAAATCTCACAACCTCAACATTTTACATGCACCTGCAGACCTAGTAATAGCATTACATTTGCCTTTAAGCTTTCTGTTTGATGCTATGGTATTTATAATGACAACTAAGAATACCTGAAAGTAGCTAGCTGCCTTTTAAGTGGGAACAGGTATGTTTGGATCCTTCCCTCTTAGAAGACATTCCACAGGAGTGAATCCTAATCATTCCAGTTGTTCTAAGGGTAAACTTTAGAAATGGACATCACTAGTGAAATATCTATTTTCATGGTCTTGGGACAAATGAACATTCAAGACACAGACATTTCTACATCCTGCTCCCTTACCTTTCTTCCAGGAGCGAGCGCTCATCCTTCAGCCCCTCGTCATCAAGAGCTTCGATTCCCCAACGTATCGCCCAACGCATTGCCCAACGCACAGCACGTGCACAAAGGAAACGACCCTGGACCTCTGGTGCAAATACTTTCTAGAGATTGGAATTCTCTGGTGGAAAGATGCTGGACGCACAGCTAGTGTTTGAAACTAGTGATGCTTTGCCTCTCCCTTTGTCTGTATTTAGTTGAGGTCTGTAAATAGTTGGGGAGTAATCACTGTCTCCTAGGATCTACCCGAGCAGAGACTGAGAACTCCTAAGGTGCTGGCAGTGATTCAACTCATCCTAACTCAGTTTTTAATTTCCTTTTTCTAGTTGATGTTTTTATGGAGTTGCTATGTGTTTTATATCACAACAAATCATTAGTGACTTTTTTTTTAAGCCTTACAATCCATCTAAAAGTGGCTCTGGCTGCCTGTGGCACTGTTTCTTTGCTGTCCCCAGTGGGCATGGAAGCTGTGTCTGTAAGGCAATGAATGCTATTGAGTAGAGCGAGCTGACTTAGATTTACTCTAGCTTTCTTCTAGATTAGACTCTGCTCTGTGGCATTGTATAGCCTTAGGGGGAACGATCGGTGTCGGTCAGCACTCTGTTTTTTCTAGGTTAATAAAGTAGAATTGCTTAATATACATTTCTTCTTTCAGGAACCAGCCAAAGTCACAGAGGATCATGTTCTTGCCTTTGAACATAATGAAAAAGGTAACTAAAAAAAGAAAACACAAACAATTACACCACAATTTAATTAAATCATGCTCTAATATGAGTGAGTTTGTGGGAAAAATAATAAGTAACCACACTGTTTATATTTTAATTTAATATAACATTTTCATAAATATTAAATATTTTTAAATTGGATAGACACAGTCATCATAGAGGACCTGTTGTTATATAAGGATCCATTGGCTGACGTTGTCTTTATAAAACACAACACTAGTGCATCAATTAAAGAAAAATTAAAAAAAAAATAAGAGTTTACCACAGGGATCCTCTGAAACAGAAGAAGAAGAAGAAGAGGAGGAGGAGGAGGAGGAGGAGGAGGAGAACAAGAACAAGAAGAAGAAGAAGAGGAGGAGGAGGAGGAGGAGGAGGAGAAGAAGAAGAAGAGGAGGAGGAGGAGGAGGGGAGGAGGGGAGGAGGAGGAGGAGGAGGAGGAGGAGAACAAGAACAAGAAGAAGAAGAAGAAGAAGAAGAAGAAGAAGAAGAAGAAGAAGAAGAGGAGCCAGCACCATCACTACCACAATCATCATCTTTGTCATCATTGTCATCGCCGTCATCTGTTGACTAGGGAAGACCGTAGAGGGACGTGGTTAGCAGAATTTTCTGTTTCTATTTACCATAAGAAAACATTTACAAACTTGTGTTGAGTTTTCCATAGCTTTAGAAGTTTTCATAGATGCCCAGACCTTTTGAGATGGTTTTTAGGTAATGCCAAGGTCCCTATGGAAATCCATTTGTATCTCATATTAGCTTCTGTACTTTATCCGTAGACAAAATGATTTAGTTCCGCCTGAGAGTACTTCCGGTAAAATTGAAAGGTTACTGAAGGCCAGTTGGCTGATCATCTCCACCACGTGTGAAGATTCTCTGGTTATGTTGGGAAAGGCAGACCAGGTTTTGAGTCTTTAGCGCTGATATTGAAATTAAACTGTTATGTCTGTAGAGAGTGTAGCAACACAGTTAAATGAAACTCTATTTCATCAATGCTATTTATTTATTTATTAAGGGAGATAGGGTTTGTTGCTTTTTATTTTCTATTTTTCTCATTTGTAGTTCTGGGGATTGAACTTCTGGAGTAAGCCACACCTCTAGGCTCTCTGTCTTTTCAAATCTGCATTTGCTTTATCTTTAAATATGTTTACCTAGCACCTACTCCGGCTGGTCTTTTAATGGATGAAGTATCTTCATTTACTCTGGGGAAACCAGCTAGGTGGTGAGAGGCCGTGGCTAAAGAGAAGCTTCTCTGTTAGCAGTACTTGGGGACACTGGTGAGGCATCCCAAGAGTCCACTAGGTCCAAAGCAAGGCATGACCTGAGGACAAACAGATTTCTAGAGTCATGGCCTAGGCTAAGCTCTTCGGTTAACCTCTGTGAAGATAGCAATCATGCCGCCTTTCAGATATGTGAAAAGCCCCACGCTGTATCGAGGGATGAGAGCCAGACCCAAGCAAATGGCCAGAGAACACACATGGGCTTTACCGTTGCCTCCTGGGACTTGCTCTCACTCAGGCCTTCTGCTCTGATGATTTGCTTTCAGTGTGTATGCCCTGCTTGTAACAGTGATACTGATTCTTCAGAGAGATGGCTCCTTGTCTCTGTTTTTTCTCCCTCCCAAGGAGTTCTGCATAAACCCTCCATCAGCTTCCAAAGTATCATAGAAGGAACCAAACATTTCCACAAAGACTTCCTAATTGGAGAAGGGGAGATATTTGAAGTGTACAGAGTGGAGATTCAAAACCAAACATATGCTGTTAAATTATTTAAACAGGTAAGGAACGAAGTTTTATCACAGACATCAATTCCACTTCTTTGCTCCTATTTCATATGAAGATGTGTCATTTTTCATTAACATTGAAAGGGCATATATTTGAAAATAAAATTTTACAAATAGAAATGAGATACGTGAGCTTAGGGTCAGGGTGGGGCTGAGAAATGAATAAAGACACGAATGCCTGTCTTTAAGGGATGTGGTGAGGACGCCAAATCTCCTGCAACCCCAGACATGCTGCATGAGACAGACTTCTCTGAAAGTCACTCATGGCCCCAGGAACTAGAAGGAAGATCAGATTGGCATTATTCCCTTAATCTCCCCTCTAGGGAGGCAGAGGCAGGCAGATCTCTGTGAGTTTAGAGCTAGCCTGGTCTACAAAGAGATTTCTAGGCAAGCTAAGGCTACACAGTGTGACCTTTTCTAAAAAACAGATTGTGGGGGTGGATCAGATTGTGCACACTTGCTCAGTTCCGGCTGTGTCTTCACCTCACAACCCTGGAGCTATGCTGAGGACTGTTATAGATGATCTTCTGTCAGAGCTCGGGAAGTGAGGACAAAGAACAGGCTCCGGTAGGACTACATCGGTTTGCCGTTACCATGGCAGAGACTTGCAAGAGTTAACTCGAAGCAGGAAAGACTGTTTTGGCTATAGTCGGAGGGGTTTTAGTCCATGTTCCATTGGTGCCATTGTGCTCTGACCTGTGGTGAGACAGAGCATTGTAGTAGAATTGGGCAAATACAGCTCCTCAGCTCATGATGGCCAAGAAAGGGGCATGGGAACAGCAGGGCCAGGGCATAGTCTTCTAGAACTCAGCCTCGGGGATTTAACAAGGCTCCACAGCCATGTGTGCATATGTGTGTGTGTGTGTGTGTGTGTGTGTGTGTATGTGCGCGCGCATATGTTGTGTGCATGTGCATCTGCCTGAGGCGCTCAGAGGCTTTGTATCCTCCTGGGCTAAAGCTTTCTGCAGCTGTGAGCTGCCCAGTGGATATGGACACAAGGAACCAAATTCCAGTCCTCTGAAAAGCAGTATGTGCCCCTAACTGCTAAATGCTTCCTGAGTCTTGAGTGCAACAACTGTTTTGTTGATGTATCCATTGGACCTGGGCTTTGCATTTTGACTGACTGTGTTTTTTTGTAAAGGTCCCCATCTGTTGGAAAGAGAAGTTTCCTTGGTGAGGGGTGAGAACTATACTTAACTGTGTCTGTAAGGACACGTGTTTAGAATGTAGCCAAGGACTGTACTGATTTGGTGAAGTGGTGGTTGTAGGGTCTCCTCTAAACTCCGTGACTGCACTAGGCCTGGGCTAGCTTTCTAGTGCCAAGCGTGAGTCTCCTCTTGTTGAGAAGGTCTTAAGTCCAGTTAGAGAGTGGTTGGTCCCCACCAAGGTGTGTCTGCCACGGCTGTGTCGTGCTGGTCATGGTTGAGACACCAAACATTGTTGTAAAAGTTTCCCACATGTACCTGGCATTGAAAACTGTTACTTAAGCTAAGGCAAAGTCTCTGGGGACAGTAAGAAGGAGCAAAATGCAATGGACCCAACCCAGTTACTGGTGGAGAGGACTGGGAGGTACAGATCGGAAGGAGTCTGAAGTGATTCCTGCTTGCGGCTTCTTTCAAACACTTTTATGTGATTATTAACTGAGTTCTTCAGTGCCCTTAAATTGCATTTTGTATCAGTAATCTTACACAGCCACGTTGAGATGACTATCTACTAAAGAAAATTGGATTGTAAAACCATTCCAACGTCAGAATATTGGCCCTTGGGACCCAGTTGAAGCCAGGTTTTCTTTGGTTTGTTTGTACTATTAACGAGTCCCGGTCCCATTGGCATCCTCTCTCATGGATGAACCCTAAGGCCACCTCCCTGAAGGGTCTCTCTCGTCTTCTCCCTGCGGTTGTTACCAACTGTTGGACTTTTCACTAGGTTGACTTTGGGATGGCATGCTCTTGCCTCTATGTTCCCTTTTACCTCCTTTCTTGATTGCATCCTACCGTCTCGCATGTCTTCCGTGACCTGACTCAGCATCATTTCCTTGTCGGAAAGGCTTCAGCTGCATTTCCAACAGGAGGAACAGACTTCCGCTTGAGAACTTCCATTTCTTTGTGCATTCCAGAGCCTGTTACAGGCTCTCTTTCAGACTTGCTCAATGAGTATTTGTTGAGTAGTTTAAAGGAAGGCCATGCAGACCATTTTCAAGAAGTTAGCAGTATGAAGTCCTGTTGTACCTGGTGGCGCTACAGTATAGCTTCCTCTTAAGGAGGGAAGTGGAAGTGCAGGGCTTTTGCCCCCCCCCATCTTTTTTTCCCCACCCCTTTTTTACCCAACAACACACACAAGCAAATGGAGAACATAACCATGCCAACTCCCCTTAATGAGTTAACTACATACTTTTCTAAAGGAATGCATTCAAACACTGGGCTGATGCCTTTAATAACACTTCTCAAAGGCCCGGAAGTGGAGAATTTTATCAGATGGTCAGATCTGTGCTTCTCAGCTCCCAGTACTTCCAGTCACCGGGACATCATCTTACAATGGCTGATTTGGATTTGGCAGGTCTGGGCAGCAGCTCTGCAGGAGGGATAGTGTTCCTCAGCAGTGCCCAGCCAAGGAAGTCTTTTGTTCACAAATTGCATTCAAGTCCCAGGTTTACAGAGACACAACCATGAGTCTCTTTGTTTACCAGATTAAGCAACAACAAACAAACAAAAAGCCTGTGACTGAGAAACAGCAAGTGCAAGGGAGAGACCTCATCTCCCTGAATAGACTCCCAGAATGTAGGCTGTAATGAAGCAGTTCTTGCCATTGATTAGCGGGCCGGGTTTATTGGTTTTAATTCAACTTGGACAGTGGTACCCAGAATTCCTCTTGGATTTTGATGATGATAGGACTCTAAACACTTCATTTTCTAGCAAGTTGCAAATGAGGATCTTATAGCTAGGACCTAGGAGCGGCTTAATGTAGGTTTTTAATGTTAGAAGCAAGGAACTTGAGATACGGGGATGTACAGTGTTACAGAATTGAAGACACCAAGAATGTGTCACCTACATCTAAGTGCTCAGTAGAATGTTATTGAAGTTATTAATTTATTCAGTACCTGCATCCCTGGGTCTTGGCGTGATGGTGGTGATGATGGCTGTGGAGGGTCTTCCTGTGCAGACCCAGGGTGACCTCACACTCACAGAGATGTGTCTGTCTGCCTCCTGATTGATCCTGAGATTAAAGCTTGGCCCCACTTCTCTAGATCTGAGGCATTTCAGTAAGAAGCCACAACTTCCTTTGGATAGTAGGCACATCTTTTCAAAATTAATGCAAAAATAAATCTGAATTGACATATGCAAATGAGCCAACTCATAAATGGTGGAAGTTCGCAAAGAACACAGGTAACATAATTTTGTGTGTGTGAGATCAGTGAGGCGTTTCCATCATTGTGGAATTTTTCCATGAATACGTTATATTTTATAATTTATGTGTCTGAAACTGGTGAGTCTGAATATGAGATTTGCAACATGGCATATTGCAGGAAAAACTTTCAATTCAAGAGTCTTGTAAGTCTTGCTTGGGAGTTAAAATGCTTTTGAAAATCTGATGAATGTTAAGGATTCTCTCCCTGGGGGTTTGCGGTGGGGGGGACTCAATCTGTATCAAAAAGGGAAACTCCCTAGATAAAGATTCTCAGAAGTAGAGAGCTAGCTCTGAAACCCTTTTCTTTTTCTTTCTTGTATGACATTCAGGAGAAAAAACTGCAGTTTAAGAAGCACTGGAAGAGATTTCTATCAGAACTGGAAGTTTTTCTCCTGTGAGTGCATTTGTTTACCTCGGATCTTCCAGCTGTGTTTGGCATTGCTGGCACTGAATTAGGGCGGGTTGGATGTTAGAACGTTGTGTACACTTTTGTCATCTGCTTTGGTGTATTCCCTAAAAGAGATTTTAAAATAGAGCCCTCCCTTCCATGCTTCATTTGGACATCTTGGAACAGGAAAGTGTCGCAAGGAAGTGGGTTAAATTGCGTGTGACTAACACGGCTGAACAGTGATTCTTAGCATCCCATGCTTGTCCCCTCCCCTGCCTTGGAGATGTTTCAGTTGAGAGACTCTTTCATCAGGCTGGCCCTCTTCAGAGAGAGAGAGTTTTAGACAAAGAAATTAAGGGCTTTTGATGTTCGTATGATCTTCCAGGGAATTCATTCATGAATCTGGGGATGCCTGGATGGTAAAGTTAAATGGCTTCATTTTTATATGACTTCATAAGTACAGCTGTGCAGCCTTGCTCACTGGAAGCCCCTGACACTGGGAAACCCATCACCTGTCACAAAGAGAAGATGCTTTTCCCTGAAGTTCTGGGAACAGATATGTGAGACGGGGTGGAGAGGGAAGTGCTGCATCCTGTCCCTTTAGAGCCAGAGCCAGGGACTAGAATCAGAAGCTAATATCATCCAGTCCAGATGTTGTAATAGATTTTTACAGTTTCCCTTGTTTGTTTATTAAGGTCAGATCCATACATTTCAAAGTCTGAGAAGCACAAAAGGGTAAATTTAGAGAAGCAGTGTCTTCGCCCACTGCCGAGTTGATTAGCTGGGTGTATATATTCTTGAAAGTCTGTTACAGCCACACGAACACATTTGGTGTCTTAGTTTCATCCTTTCACACAAAGGTAACACAGCACGTGGTTCACTTTGCTTATCCTTCTCCTGTTCTGTTCTGTGGTCCACTGTAGCTTCTTTTTGTTGAGAGGTTTAAATGTCTAATCTTTTTCAACTCAAGAATGCCCCACCATCTCAGGGGGAAAAAAAGAGAACATTTCCATTGTTAAAGAAATTTTGTTTTAGGGTCTGTATGTATGCAGATCTTTTATTTAAGTTTCTGATGCATGGATCTAGTCAGTGCTGTGCTTTTATTTGTGTTTTAAGACTCGTTCTTTCCATTCCTCTTTCCTTGGTAAGAAGGAGCTATTTCTTTCCCCATTGTGTATTTTCCACCTCCTAGTCAGGGTTTTAGTCGATGATGTACATACGGATTGGGTTATCTTTGGAGCCTCTATTCTGTGCCACTGATCACTGGGACTACTTTCTGCCAATGCTGGCTGATTTGATTACTAAGGCATCCCGATGCTACTTCAAATCAGGGTTCTGCTTTCTCATGTGACTTTGATTGTTTGAAGTCTTTCATGGTTTCATATGGGCTCTAGGATTGCCCCTGCAGTGAAAATGTCACAATTTTGATAAGGATCACATCAAATCTGCAGCTTTCTTTGGGCAGCTTGGGCAATTTGGCAGGATTAATTCTTGCAATGCACGATGCCAGGTGAATCTTCCTGTTTGCTTTTTTTCTCTAATTTTCTTATCAATGTAGTTTTAAGTGTACAGATCATTTATCACTGTGGTTAAATTTACGCCTTAGGATTATATTCTCTCTGTTGTCTTAGAAACAGATAATTTTCCTCATTCTTTATTCTGGTAGCTCATGGTGAATATAGAGAAGTAACATCGATTTTATATGTTGATTTTGTATAGGAAGAATCTAGCGTATTCATTGGTTCCAGCCTTTTGTGTGTGCATGAAGTCTTTCAGGCTTTCTATGTATGAGGTCATGTAACAACCAAACTGGGACAATTTAACTGTCTTCTTTCTAGCCTTTCTTTCGTCCCTGGCCTCCTTGCTCTAGTTAGCAGTGCTGTGCTGCATAGGAGTATGGGCCCCAGTCTCACTCCCACGCCCTAAGGAAAATACACTTGTCATGATGAGTTATGTCCTTAGGTAGGAGTTTATCATATGTGGCATTTATTGTACTGAGGCGCATTATCTCCATAATTCATTGAGCGTTCTATCTTGAAGTGCCTTGAATTTTGATAAAAGCTTTCCCTGCATCTCTTGAGACGATCACATGACCTTTTTGCCTTCACTAGGATAGTGTGGTGTATTATTGGCCTTCACTAGGATAGTGTGATGTATTATTGGTCTTCACTAGGATAGTGTGGTATATATATTATTGGCCTTCAAAAATAGTGTGGTGTATTATTGGCCTTCACTAGGATAGTGTGTTGTATTATTGGCCTTCACTAGGATAGTGTGGTATATATATTATTGGTCTTCACTAGGATAGTGTGATGTATTATTGGCCTTCACTAGGATAGTGTGGTGTATTATTGGCCTTCACTAGGATAGAGTGGTATATTATTGGCCTTTACTAGGATAGCGTGGTATATATATTATTGGCCTCTACTAGGATAGTGTGATGTATTATTGGCCTTCACTAGGATAGTGTGGTGTATTATTGGCCTTCACTAGGATAGAGTGATATATTATTGGCCTTTACTAGGATAGCGTGGTATATATATTATTGGCCTCTACTAGGATAGTGTGATGTATTATTGGCCTTCACTAGGATAGTGTGATGTATTATTGGCCTTCACTAGAATAGTGTGGTATATACATTATTGGTCTTTTTGTACATGTTATGCTGTTCTTGAATCCCAAAGATATAATTCTATTTTATCAGGGGACGTGGTTTTATAATAATATTTGAAGCCTTTGAAGTTCATACACTGTCTTTGATTGTACTTCCTGCCATTTCCCCATTCCTACCAGGTCCACCTCTCTACCTTCACCTTCCTATCCTTCTAACTTTGAGGGTTCTTTTTGTCTTCTTTTTTAATCCACTAGAACTCTTTTTTTGTATTTTATTTTATTTTTTAAAAAAGAAAACAAACTATCTTTTTTCATCATATATACCAATCCAAGTTCCAACTCCCTCCCCTCATCCCATTCCCTCCACACACTCTCCCACCTCACTCCCATCCACAGAGAGGGTAAGGCACATTGCTTTGAGGAAGGTCCAAGGCCCTCCCTACTATATCTAGGCTGAACAAGGTATTCATCCAAAGACATTAGGTTCCCAAACAGCCAGTACTAGCAGTAAGGATAAATCCTGGTGCCACTGCCAGTGGCCCCTCAGTCTGCCCCAGCCATGCAACTGTCAACCACATTCAGAAGGACTAGTTTGGACCTATGCTTGTTCATTCCCTGTCTGGCTGCAGTTAGTGAGCTCCCATTAGCTCAGGTAAACTGTTTCAGTGGGTGAACCCACATGGTCTTGACCTCTTTGTTCATATTCTCATTCCTCCCACTCTTCAGCTGGACTTTAGGAGATCAGTTCAGTGCTCTGCTGTGGGTCTCTGCCTCTGTTTCCATCAGTTGCTGGATGAAGTTTTAATATAGGGCAAGGCTAGTTCAGGTATCCTCTCCTTTATTGCTTAGGATCTTATCTGGGGTCATCCTTGTGGATTTCTGGGAATTTCTCTTGAGCCAGGTTTCTTTATAGCCCCATAATGGCTCCCTCAATCAAGATATTTCTTTTCTTGCTCTCATCTCTGTCCTTCCTCCATCTCGACTATCCTGTTCCCTCAAGTTCTCCTCCCCTCTCCCCTTCTCCCATTTTCTTATTTTCTTCCTCTTCCACCCTCCATTCTCCCCCCACAATTGTGCTCCCAATTTTGTCAGGCAATCTTGTCTATTTCAACTTTCCAGGTGGACCTATATGTGTTTTACTTAGGGTTCATCTTGTTACTTAGCTTCTCTAGGATCCATGAACTATAATCTCAATATCCTTTGTTTATAGCTAGTATCCACTTATGAGTGAGTACATACCATATTCATGTTTTTGGATCTGGGTTACCTCACTCAGGATGGTGCTTTCTAGTTCTATCCATTTGCATGCAAATTTCATAATGTCATTGTTTTTTACTGCTGAGTAGTACTCTAATGTGTAAATGTACCACATTTTCTTTATCCATTCTTTGGTTGAGGAGCATCTAGGTTGTTTCCAGGTTCTGGCTATTGTGAATAATGCTGCTATGAACATAGCTGAACAAATGTCTTTGTAGTATGATTGAGCACCTTTTGTGTATATGCCCAAGAGTGATATTGCTGGATCCTGAGGTAGGTAGACTCCCAATTTTCTGAGAAACAGCCAATACTGATTTCCAAAGTGGTTGTACAAGTTTGCATTCCCACCAACAATGGATGAGTGTTTCCCTTACTCCACATCCTCTCCAGCATAAACTATCATTGGTGTTTTAGATCTTAGCCATTCTGACTAGTGAAAAATGCTATCTCAGAGTTATTTTGATTTGCATTTTCCTGATGGCTAAGGATGTTGAACATTTCCTTAAGTGTCTTTCAGCCATTTTGAGATTCTTCTGTTGAGAATTCTCTGTTTAGGTCTGTGTCCCATTTTTTTTTAATGGGTTGTTTGAAATTTTGATGTCCAATTTCTTGAGTTCTTTATATATTTTGGAGAGCAGTCCTTTGTCTGATGTGGGGTTGGTGAAGATCTTTTCCCATTCAGTAGGCTTCCTTTTTATCTTATTGACTGTGTTCTTTGCTTTACAGAAGCTTCTCAGTTTCAGGAGGTCCCATTTATTTATTATTGCTCTCAGTGTCTGAGCTACTGGTACTATATTTAAGAAGTAGTTTCCTGTGCCAGTACATTGAAGGCTACTACCTACTTTCTCTTCTATCAGGTTAAGTGTAGTCAGAATTATATTGAGGTCTTTAATCCATTTGGACTTGAGTTTTGTGCACGGAGACAGATATGGATCTATTTTTATTTTTCTACATGCTGACTTCCAGTTATGCCACCACCATTTGTTGAAGATGCTTTCTTTTTTTTTCCATTGTATAATTTTATCTTCTTTGTCAAAATCAGGTGTTCGTGGATGTGTGGATTAATACCTGGTCTTCAATTCGATTCCATTGGTCGAATTCTCTGTTTTTATGCCAATACCAAGCTGTTTTTATTA